ACAAAAACTGTAATGAACTGGAACACAGATCGAAAAATGAGGATGAACAATAGATTTATAGAAGCTCCGGGGTGTAAAGATCGAAAGTTGATGCAAAAGTGAATAGAGCGGGGGGTGTAGAGATTGAATGTCATATGCCAGCCGTATGATAGAAAGGATCACAAGAGTTGATTAAAAATAAGTATAAGGAAAAGCTCTGGGTGTAATGAATTAGATGATAAAAATCCAGCCAGTGGACACTGTGAACTGTAAATATTGTATTTGTGTGGTATAAACCAAAAAAAAGAAGAACTTTTGAAGAATTGGCATGCCATCGATAGCAGAAAATGCGATAATGGGGAATGTGTAGAATGTATTTTAATTTTTTTAAAAGCCGACGAAAAACACTTGTGGTGATGTGGCAGAAGACTCAAACTCGAAAATAAAGAGACAAATTATATTTCTATAAAACGAAGTAGGAAAGCTGAGAAAAGCGGAAGCGGCTAGAGGGAAAGCGGGAAATTGGGCAGTATGAACGATGCAATAGCAACAGCAACAATGTGAAGCAACAATAGCAACTGAAATAATATGATAAACAGACAAACAGAACCTTTTTGTATGAGAAACGGGGAGCCGGAAAATCGAAACTGTCGCAGCGACAGTTTAAAAGCAGTAAAATTATGTGTTTAATGTACAACATAAAATAGCAAGCTATTTTATACACAATATTCAATTTATCCACATTTAAGAGAAACGATTAAAACCAAAAAGCTGCCATCAACACTCATGCATGCATACGATTAAAGCTCTTTAGTTTCACCAATTTGATTGATGATTGCTTGGTGGACAACTAGTAAGCGCAACAACTAAACAATTGGCAAATGTTTTGCAAACTCTCATATGTGTATTAGTAAAGCATAATTACTACCCTTCTTTGTCGCATATATGAAGAATTTAAACAAAAGAAAACGATCACAGCAAGTAAACCCATATTCAATTCAAGGAAAACCAAATGAAATGCAAAAACTAACAAACTGAAAACTTAAAACCCGTAATGTGTGCAACCATAGCAAAGCGAAAGTAAACGAAACATACTTTTTTAAGTACCATATATATGTAAAAGCAAACAATGAAGCAAAAGCCAGAGCGAAATATTCAACGTAATGCTAATTTTAAATCATATTTACTAACGAAAGGCAGGCTAAAATTTCAGTTAACTCAACGACGAGTAGTCAATGGAATCGCAATGTTTCGTATGCTAATTTTCTCAATAACCAACCATCTCATGCCCACACACAACCCACAATCAACAATCAACACTTGAGACACTCGACACATTGAACCTACCAAGACAGCATAATCCACACCACCAAGACACCAAGAATCTATCTAATAATAGCGGGGAACTCGAAGCTGGAGGAGTTAGGATCACGTTGGGGGAGATGCGAAGTGCAGATATGATACTGATACTAGGAGTGCAGTTTTCGTAATTTTTAATTAATTAAACACAAAACGCAAGCGACGATGAACAGATGAATTATATTATATATGTGTAACAAATGGGAGAATCGGAGGATATCATGGACTGAGCGTACATTAAAGCGTGGAAAAGATAGGAAGCTGGTGAAGCAACCAATACTAGGATTTTAGTTTATAAGCTCTAAAGCGCTGGTCAGGAAATTACAGTGAGAGAATAGAACGGCTAACAAATACGGAAAGCACACACAAATCTATGGAATGTATGGCTGCGGAGCGTTTATGTTGAATATTTTTGAGAAACAAAACAAAAAGTTAAAAAAAAAGCGAAAAAACCAATTATGTTGTAAACAAAAATACAAAGATTTCATTGCGTTTTGGGCCCGCTGACAGGCGCCCAAGCACTTGTGTTGTACATAGTTACATTATTAATAACAATATATATACTTACTCATTAACAATTAAGTCGACGAACGGTACAAGTGCAAAAAGAGACGGATGTGTGAAAAACAAAAACATTTGAGAAAAAACGAATGAAATGAAGACAAGACGAAAACATGAAAAGTAATAAAGAAATGCTCTGCAATAGAAAAGTTTCGAGCTTGCGTAATTATTTTGCAGATATCCAAAAGGAATTGGTGGGGACAGCAGTGTTCTGAGAACTGGAAAAAATACGCTGTTCGAATATCTCAAGAAATGTACAGATTTATTCGAGAGTTGACTTTAAACTGGAAATTTCTTAAACTTGAAGCTCCGTCACATGATTTTCTTTTTCTATAGATACCTACTTCGATCTCGATTATATACAGAAATTGTACAAAAGTGCGTACGGTAGACTTGGACTTATACTACTACGAAGAAACCTTGGTACAGCATGGCTATAAGCCCATGATTTCCTGCCCAGTTTGGTCGCGCATGGCGTCAGACTTATGGTTTGGGATGTTGGTGGCCACCTCGTTATCCTCTTCGATTGGCACTAGCTTGTTGTTCGCGACAGCCTTCTTCTTTTTAGCTTTCTCCGCGGGCGGCTGAGTTGTTCTGCTGGGATCGTGGATCCGTGAGTGTCGCTTGAGATCGCCTGAGACCCGGAATTTCTTTTCGCAGATGGAGCACTCGTACGGCCGCTCACCCGTGTGCACTTTAATGTGGCTGAGCAAGTAGGAGCTGGCCCGGAAGGTCTTGTCACAGTATTGGCAAGCGTAGTTCTTTTCCCTGGTGTGAATTCTGCGATGGACAACCAGGGAGTAACGCCGGGAAAAACTCTTTCCGCAAAATTCGCACATGTGCGCCTTGACGTCGCTGTGCCGCGAGATGATGTGATACTTTAGGTCACCCCACTGCCGAAACTGAAAGTCGCACTTTTCGCATTTAAAGGGTTTCACGCCGGAATCTGCGGAGGATCAAGGATTAGGGCCAAACTCTTTAAGATTCTAGACCATGACTTACGTGTCCGCTCGTGAGCCTTCAGCGCACTCTGCGTGTAGAAGGATCTCTCGCAGCTGTCGCACTTGTGAGATCTCTGCTGATTGTGCGTGTACTGATGGTACTTAAGGGCATTGTACGAGTTGAAATCGCGGTTGCACTTGTCGCAGAAATGTTTCCTTCTTGTCTTGTTCTCTGCCTCCTCGGATAAAGTCGTGTCCAAGACCTCCATCTGGTAGCTTTCATTCGGCTCTTCGGCGTCGGGATCTCCTTCCTCCAGCGACGAAGCTGGTCGGCTATCGCTCATATCGTCCTCTTCCAACTTGAAGGCCTCACTTAGTACTAGAGGGGATCTGCGCAGCTGCTCGATGGAGGAGTTGGCTGGGGGAACTGAGGCAATCGGTGGCGTTTGGCAGGCAGGTGGGGCAACTAGCAGGGTTTGCTCATTTGGCTCGCAGGCTTTAGACAGAGTTTTCTCCAGCTTTGCCTCCTCTTGAGGAAGTTCCTTCTCGGGACTAAGAAAATCGAGTGCCATGTGGTCGCTGACATGGGGATTCTCTTTTAGCAGTGGAGTGGCTGGTTCTGAAGATGCTGGCGGCGGCTCTCCTGGCAGCAGAAGAGCCGGAAATGTGATATCCCTGAAGTTGTTATTAAACCAGGGGGCCGTCATTCCGCTGGAGGTCAGTTCAAGATCCACCAGTTCATCGCAGGTGTCCTCTATTGAAACCTTGTCCACCACATTGCGGATACCCTCGAGCATATCTTCCGTGTCGCTGAACTCCACATCGTCCACCACGGGCACGGAATTCGCAGTGCTGTTGGTGTTAACCACCACGGGATTTAGTTTGTCCGTGGCTTGTCCATGCAGCACCATATTCACGCCGACGTTGGCCACATCGTCCACATGGTGACCGATGTTGTGAAAGTTCTCAAAGTTCAGCTGCACATCTTGAAAAACCTGATCCAGTTTCGCCTGCTCCTGTTGCAGCTGTGCCAGCAATATGAGAAATAGGTGTTAATCTCCAAGCTCTAGCCCTATAATCCCAACTAACCTTATCCTGGGCAGACAAACCACACATGTCGAGGGGTTCCTTTTGCTGGTGCTGTTGCTGAGGATCCTGAACCACCAGGCGCTGCTCCAGAACTGTGGGCTCGTAGTGCTGCTTCAGATGTTCGAAGAAGTCCAATTGGGTGTGCACAGCGTAGCCGCATATTTCGCAGCTATACAGCGAAGAGGGAGCCACATCCTGGACGTGCTTGTGCTGGTGCTCCAGCTCGGGGTCGATGTTGCCCTTGAGCTTACGCGAAATGCGTTTCTTGTGGGGCAGCACCTTGCGGGCGTTCGTGCAGGAGGCGTTGTGCGCATAGAGGAGATCCTCGTCCTCGTGCAGACCCGTGGATACGTCGATGGGCACCGTGGGCTCAATGGCCAGGGCCGGAAAAGTGGGCTGCACATCCGTCTGGTGGGGCACCACATCGTTTTCCGGCGACGATTTGTTCACAAACTGAAAGATGGTGTTGTGGAAATTGAGCTCAGGCGTCAGCGATTCCTTTTCCACGTAACCCACGCCGCTCTCGGAATTCCCTGAACTAGGATTCGTGCTCAGATTTGTGGGTCCTTCGGGTTTGTAGGTATGATCTATCAGATCCATGATGAAGTGGTTCGCCAGCAGCGTCTGCAAGTTGGTTGGGATCTTGTTAGTGCGCGGGCTTTTACTCGACACTTGGTCGGTGGCATTCCCACTTACGTGGTCGATGAACTGCTGGGCGTCCACTTCCTTGCGCTCCATTTTCCTGCAGTTTTTCTTAAATTCATTAAAAGCGAAAGAAACAGATGTTTACGTTTTGTAGCGATATTTGGTCGATAACACATTTATCGCTCACAGTGCAGTGGAGGGTCGAAAACAATTGCTATTGAACCGATAACAGTGCGCAAAAGCAAGCAGTGCGCGCACTGCTTTAGTGCTGTGTATAAAAACCGCTAATATTCAAACTCCATACTTATCAGCTTAGAAGCTGTAATTAATGTAAACTTTTTTTCTTTAAACTTATGACTTTATTGATAATTCTTTTGGTATTTGACAATAATGTAAAGTATCATTTAGATTTCAGTTGGGCTTTACCTAAATTTTATTGTCCAACTGACATATATAATGGAACTCTCTTGAACACTCTACATCAGTCATTTTCCCAAGAGTCAGGGCCACGCACTCCTGCTTAATGTCTTGCCAGTTGAAGGGTTCATCGAGCATCCAATCGAAATATTCGACTGCCTTTCCAGAGGCCACAGATACGAACTGGCCCTCCTTTTCCCTTTCGTTGATACCCAGCCAGTATACTGCCAGTTGAAGTTCCTTGTGAAGTTCTTCGAGTTCCTCTTGGCTTTTGAATGCCGCTAGATAACCGCCTTTCTGCTGGCAGGCGATTCCAGCATCCGTCCAGTTCTTCCTGTCGTAATGTTCAATGTAGAAATATCTGGTTCCAATCAGGTCGAAGCCTGGCGGAATGTATGACTTCCTTAAAGTGGTCTCCATCTGCTCCAACTTTTCATTTAGTTCGTGTAGTTGGCTGGAAAACGCTAGTACCACATTTTGAATTTGTGCCATGTTTGCCTGGGCTGTAGCTAAAACACTTAAATGAGTAGTGCGTTGCTTTTCGAAATGGTCAATGTGATCGTGGATAGGCTGAAGTGCGAATGCCACACACTGAGTTGAAGTCGCATTATCCTCGGACCTGGCCATTCCATAAAGGATGCAGGCGAAGATATAATATCCAATCTTAAACATTTCGGGGCCGTAGAACCACTGCACGCGAATGTTGGCAGTGAACTGATTGTGAGCTGCTACCAACATTGATAATAATGATAATTTTTTTGGGGAATTTAATCCGTGCTTTTATCTTTATCTTATCTCTATCTTATATCTTTAAGCTTTGAGCTTAATTGATACAAATACCTGCAGTGACAAATAAAAAACTATTTTGCTTTTGGAAAGTATTATGATTTTTGTTTCAACTAAATAATGTTGTCTAATTGACAAATGTAATTGTATTCGAAGGAACACTGCATAGAAACCATATGATTCACGCCCATTCTAACGCAGTCATCATTGCCTTTCCAGTTGTATGGCTTACCCAGATACCAATTCAAGTATGCTGGCTGTCTGCCAGAGGCCACAGATACAAACTCGTCCTTCTCTCCAAGATTGTTGATCCCTAGCCAGTAGTCATCATGCTTCAATTTATTTTTGATTGCGTCGAATTCCAGTTGATCATGAAATGCCGCCAAATATCCTCCTTTATGGCGACACGCGCGTTCTGCCTGAGTCCAATTTTTGGTCTCGTCGTGTTCCATGTAAAAGTATCTGGATCCCATCTTTTTGAATCCGGACGGAACGACTGGCGTCAAATTCATGTTGGTCTCAATCCAGAGCAGCTTTTCTTTTAGTTGCCCAGCATTTGCACTTAAACGGTCCAATATCGCCAGTGTTTCGACTTGAACTCTTGTCATGTTCGTTAGTGTTTCATGCTGAGCCAAATGTTGATTGTTCTGCTTTTCTCTGAGTTCAGCAATGTGATGATGTATGGGACGTACAGCCGCACGGACTTCAGCCCCACAGGGTATTGATGTCGTATTATCCTTGGTACTAGCAATCCCCAAAAGGACGGATCCGAAAATATAATACGCCAGTTTAAACATTTTATGGCCGAGAAACACTCCTTAAGAATGCTGCCGCGTTACTAAAGCGGAAAATAAACGACAGATTTTTAGGAACCACAATCGATAAAAACCATTATTTTATCTATCAAATTCGTTTGCCGAAAATGGCTACTGATAATACTGATAAAAGTATACAGCTTACTAAAAACCAACACTAAGAACCAGATAAAATGTTATAGTCGAATTCCCCGACTATTAGATACCCGTTACTCAGTTTGTAAAAGTAAAAAAATTCAACAAAATTTTCAAACGCGTGGTAGTGACAGTTTTCGGGCGGATTGTGGGCGGTAGAGTGGACATAGTAAAACGATTTTGGCAAATCGATAAAAATTTACAAGACTAATAAAAAGGTTCAAAAGTATCACATTTTTCAAAGATGCCACTTCAAAATCCAATTAAGATAGGTTGACTTATGGACTTTAGAACTTCAGTCTTGGGACATTTTTGACTTTCTACAGAATCATAACATCAGAAAAATTACCAAAAAATTTTGAAAAAATAAATTTCCAAATTTGAATGCAGATTTTTAGAAAATTGCTCCAGAAACATTTAGAGGTATGCCACATCAAAATCCGATTAAGATAGGTTGAGCTATGGACTTTAGAACTTCAGTCCTGGGACATTTTTGACTTTCTACAGAATCATAACATCAGAAAAATTACAACAAAATTTTGAAAAATTAAATTTCCAAATTTGAATGCAGTTTTTTAGAGAATTGCTCCAGAAACATTTAGAGGTATGCCACATCAAAATCCGATTAAAATACGTTGAGCTATGGACTTTAGAACTTCAGTCTTGGGACATTTTCCGATTTCTACATTATCACGATATCAGAAAAATTACAAAAAAATGTAAAAAAAATTTATTACCAAATTTGAATGCAGTTTTTTAGAGAATTGCTCCAGAAACATTTAGAGGTATGCCATGTCAAAATCCGATTAAAATAGGTTGAGCTATGGACTTTAGAACTTCAGTTCTAGGACATTTTCCAATTTCTACAGAATCATAACATCAGAAAAATTACAAAAAAATTTTGAAAAATTAAATTTCCAAATTTGAATGCAGTTTTTTAGAGAATTGCTCCAGAAACATTTAGAGGTATGCCACATCAAAATCCGATTAAAATACGTTGAGCTATGGACTTTAGAACTTCAGTCCTGGGACATTTTTGACTTTCTACAGAATCATAACATCAGAAAAATTACCAAAAAATTTTGAAAAAATAAATTTTTAAATTTGAATGCAGATTTTTAGAAAATTGCTCCAGAAACATTTAGAGGTATGCCACATCAAAATCCGATTAAGATAGGTTGAGTTATGGACTTTAGAACTTCAGTTCTGGGACATGTTTGACTTTCTACAGAATCATAACATCAGAAAAATTACAAAAAAATGTAGAAAAAATTAATTTTTAAATTTGAATGCAGTTTTTTAGAGAATTACTCCAGAAACATTTAGAGGTATGCCACATCAAAATCCGATTAAAATAGGTTGAGCTATGGACTTTAGAACTTCAGTCTTGGGACATTTTTGACTTTCTACAGAATCATAACATCAGAAAAATTACCAAAAAATTTTGAAAAAATAAATTTCCAAATTTGAATGCAGATTTTTAGATAATTGCTCCAGAAACATTTAGAGGTATGCCACATCAAAATCCGATTAAAATAGGTTGAGTTATGGACTTTAGAACTTCAGTCCTGGGACATTTTTGACTTTCTACAGAATCATAACATCAGAAAAATTACAAAAAAATTTTGAAAAAATAAATTTCTAAATTTGAATGCAGATTTTTAGAAAATTGCTCCAGAAACATTTAGAGGTATGCCACATCAAAATCCGATTAAAATAGGTTGAGCTATGGACTTTAGAACATCAGTCTTGGGACATTTTCCGATTTCTACAGTATCACAACATCAGAAAAATTACAAAAAAATGTAGAAAAAATTAATTTCCAAATTTGAATGCAGTTTTTTAGAGAACTACTCCAGAAACATTTAGAGGTATGCCACATCAAAATCCGATTAAGATAGGTTGAGTTATGGACTTTAGAACTTCAGTCTTGGGACATTTTCCGATTTCTACAGTATCACAACATCAGAAAAATTACAAAAAATGTAGAAAAAATTAATTTCCAAATTTGAATGCAGTTTTTTAGAGAATTACTCCAGAAACATTTAGAGGTATGCCACATCAAAATCCGATTAAGATAGGTTGAGTTATGGACTTTAGAACTTCAGTCCTGGGACATTTTTGACTTTCTACAGAATCATAACATCAGAAAAATTACCAAAAAATGTAGAAAAAATTAATTTCCAAATTTGAATGCAGTTTTTTAGAGAATTGCTCCAGAAACATTTAGAGGTATGCCACATCAAAATCCGATTAAGATAGGTTGAGCTATGGACTTTAGAACTTCAGTCTTGGGACATTTTCCGATTTCTACAGTATCACAACATCAGAAAAATTACAAAAAAATGTAGAAAAAATTAATTTTTAAATTTGAATGCAGTTTTTTAGAGAATTACTCCAGAAACATTTAGAGGTATGCCACATCAAAATCCGATTAAGATAGGTTGAGTTATGAACTTCAGAACTTCAGTCTTGGGACATTTTTGACTTTCTACAGAATCATAACATCAGAAAAATTACCAAAAAATTTTGAAAAAATAAATTTCCAAATTTGAATGCAGATTTTTAGATAATTGCTCCAGAAACATTAAGAGGTATGCCACATCAAAATCCGATTAAGATAGGTTGAGTTATGGACTTTAGAACTTCAGTCCTGGGACATTTTTGACTTTCTACAGAATCATAACATCAGAAAAATTACCAAAAAATTTTGAAAAAATAAATTTCCAAATTTGAATGCAGATTTTTAGATACTTGCTCCAGAAACATTTAGAGGTATGCCACATCAAAATCCGATTAAAATAGGTTGAGTTATGGACTTTAGAACTTCAGTCCTGGGACATTTTTGACTTTCTACAGAATCATAACATCAGAAAAATTACAAAAAAATTTTGAAAAAAATAAATTCCTAAATTTGAATGCAGATTTTTAGAAAATTGCTCCAGAAACATTTAGAGGTATGCCACATCAAAATCCGATAAAAATAGGTTGAGCTATGGACTTTAGAACTTCAGTCTTGGGACATTTTCCGATTTCTACAGTATCACAACATCAGAAAAATTACAAAAAAATGTAGAAAAAATTAATTTTTAAATTTGAATGCAGTTTTTTAGAGAATTACTCCAGAAACATTTAGAGGTATGCCACATCAAAATCCGATTAAGATAGGTTGAGTTATGGACTTTAGAACTTCAGTCTTGGGACATTTTCCGATTTCTACAGTATCACAACATCAGAAAAATTACAAAAAAATGTAGAAAAAATTAATTTTTAAATTTGAATGCAGTTTTTTAGAGAATTACTCCAGAAACATTTAGAGGTATGCCACATCAAAATCCGATTAAGATAGGTTGAGTTATGGACTTTAGAACTTCAGTCTTGGGACATTTTCCGATTTCTACAGTATCACAACATCAGAAAAATTACAAAAAAATGTAGAAAAAATTAATTTCCAAATTTGAATGCAGTTTTTTAGAGAATTGCTCCAGAAACATTTAGAGGTATGCCACATCAAAATCCGATTAAGATAGGTTGAGCTATGGACTTTAGAACTTCAGTCTTGGTTATGGGTTATGGACTTTAGAACTTCAGTCTTGGGACATTTTCCGATTTCTACAGTACCACAACATCAGAAAAATTACAAAAAAATTTTGAAAAAATTAATTTCCAAATTTGAATGCAGTTTTTTAGAGAATTGCTCCAGAAACATTTAGAGGTATGCCACATCAAAATCCGATTAAGATAGGTTGAGTTATG